TTGCAGAAGATGAAAGACCATTGCATGTCTGCTGTGTGGTGTCATTCTCCCTTAAACCTACATCTCCCTTACATAAATAAACCTAACCATAATCTTAATCTAGGTTTTGGGTCCAACTGGTCCACAAAACACATCATAAGTTGGCTTCAATGCAGATCCGCCAACTTCAAACACGTGCAGTATTTTCAATACTTATCCAAATTAAGCAATTCTTGACTCTTTTGAAAGCCTTTTGAGTTATCTTTAAAACTCCACCCTTTTTACTATTTTTGAAGGTCTCGTGAATTTAGGAGGCTTAAATTACTGAACATGTCCATTGGGACGTCCTGGTGCGCTTGACCCGTTTTGGATAATTTATGTAAAATCTAATTTAGCTCTGAATTGAATGATTTTGGATCCTCTAGAAAACAGAATGTGTCTAGTTTATAATGATTCTAGAATCATGATTTTTGGAGCTCTGTAGAAAAAATGATAAATAAAACAGTGAACCAATGTTAGTACCCGTATAGAATAAAATATGACAATTGACCTAATTTTCCAAGCCCAACAGTGCTTTAAACTGTAATATGGCATCTGGCCCAATCTTCTATGCCCAAAATTGCTTTAAATTGTCCTGAAAATAATAATGAGCAAAAATTAGATCAAATAGATTCAAATTAATTAAAATCTGAATTATTGGCCCAGTGAAGCCCAATTAATAAAAATTCACTAATAACAGAAAGTTAAACCCAAAACACTAATTAAAATAAGTTCAGAAAGGGAAGAAAATATGGGAATATAATGACTCGTCACTAACATACTGTGCAATTCATGCACATTCCACTTGTCTTTCATGGTGTTATAGTTCATCTGGAACTGATCATACTCAGGCGGTAACAAGTTCAAAATGAATTGCATAAGAAAATTTTCTTCCACTGTCATTCCAAGAGACTTGATTCTTGCTGTGATATTTGTCATTTCGATTACGTGTTCATGCATACTACGAGAACCATCAAACTTCATTGTGGTCAACGTACTCATCAATGTTCTAGCGAGAGATTTGTTAGCAGTTTGAGAGTGCTCTTCCATAAATTTCATGAACTCCTTCGCATCCTCAGTTTTAGGAAGAGTAGACTTAATATTGCTTGCTATACTCATTCACATAAACATAAGGCTAAGTCTGTTTGATCTTTTCCAAGCTCTATAATGAGTTTTCTCTTCATTGCTACTAGCATTAGTGATAGAAAATGGTTTTCAACTTGGAAAGCCAAATTAAGATCTAACACACCTAAGTGAAATTGGATTTGTTCACTCCAGTCAGGGAAATTTAATCCATTAAAGACTGGAACAGACGAAGAAAGTGAATGTAGAGCTACAGGAACAGATACTACAATTAACACATGTCTAACATTAACACTTTGAGTCATAAAAATTAAACATAAATACAGATTCAAATATAAATAACCATTCTCTGCATACTAATGTTCTCCTTTAGGAGATCCACTAGTACACAAGCATAATTATGCTAATCATTTATAACATTAATGATAACTAAAATATGCATCAATTAGAATCACCTAACACCTTTGGGTATATAAATAAAGTTAGTGATAGCACACAAAATTATCCACCTTTATGCTCATTAATTATAATAATAATTAATCAACCTTTGGGTGATTCTTAAATGTCTTATAATAATGAACTTCAATTAACCCATAAATCAATTATTCATAAGTTTAGTGTTAATATTATAGGTAATTGAAATAAAATCATTAATAATTTGAAATCAAAATAACCTTAAAATGTTGATCACTTTGGTGACTAACAAAATTTATCATACTTAATTTCAAATAAATAATATCTTTAATTATTATTAACCATTCATAATATTTTATTATTATTAATTTTAATAAATATATACATTATTCACATAATAAAATATTATTTGTCATGAATAAAATTGAAACTCATAATTTCAATTTCCATTATACGATTGATTTTCAATCCAAGACCTTTATTTTATTGAAATTGTCAATTCAAAACTTTTATCCGCAACTTATTGCGGAAATAATTCAAATTTAATTTGCAAAACAAAATTTGCAATTAAGGCATTTATATACGGGTGCATCCTATAACAATGTCAACCATTCATTTATATCTAAAGTAAAATTGGGCACATCCTGTGACAGTGCATTATCAACAGTCACCAAACATTTACTATATGTATAATATGTGAACAAAATAATATGTAGAACTACTAATGTAATTGCTAATTATTCACTACCAAAAAAATATCTCACAACATATAATAATCATACATAAAAAAAGGAACATGGGTTTGGCAAATGTGCTCTATGAGCACGGTGCATGATGCATACTGACAGCACTTGCCAATAAAAACATCAACTTTACCGTTTACCTTTCTTCCATCATAATTATAATATGTAGTAAAACAAATTTCATACATGATTCATCCTAACCCAATCACGTCATTTGCATTTTCAATTAAAATCAATTACGGGATCATTCACGCATAAGGGCTATAAAATTGGTTGAAATTGATTGTAGCTGAAAACATAAATTAGGGTTTATTCCTTTATTCAATTTTGGGAAAAACAAATTTGGGAATAACTTAGGGTTCATGTTAATCTGATAGAGAAATCCTTAAATTCATAATTTGGGTTTATCTTAATTTGGGAAAAACTATCATAAGAGCAAAATCATAAATCTAATAATCTGGCTCTGATACCACATGTAAGTTAATTTGTAGTTTTTCTACGTTCATAATTCATTCTAGAAAATTATTCTACAGGATCTTCATATTATTGATTTTCACAATATAACATACATGAATCATGAATCATAATAAGAAGACTAACTTTGATCCATAAGAGTCTGTTCTTTAACTCCAACCTCCTTTTTTCCCAATCTATTTATTTGTCTTTTTTTCTCTATTCATGTTTTCCTCATGATTTATCATAAAAACTCTTTATGACCAAAGACAGAATCATAATCTCTTTTATAAACCAACATCCATTAAGTTAGTTATCGTAAGTTTTTTATTTTATCTTTATTTTATTCTGCCTTCACATAATAATTAATAAATCTTTATATTTTATTAAATCATATTTAGACTCATCATTATATTTCACATAAGTCACATAATAAAATGAATTAATTAAATTAATTCTAACACTACCTACCTTAAAAAAATTAATTCGCCTTTTACCCCTCCCCTTATCAGTCCAATGCCCGCTTAAAAAATATTTGTGGGTTTTCTTTAGAATCACAAGTATCCATGGATACCACGAATATTTTTTATTTTATTTTATTTTTATTTAAATATAATTGTTTAAAAAGTATTCTTTAAAATATATATATTAATAATTTTTTCATTAAAAAATATAATTAAATCATAAAATATTAATATAAATAAAATTAGTTTTTATAAATTATTAATTTTAATAAGTTGTAATATAAAAAATAAATTTAAATAATATTAATTTTTTTAAATAACTTTAATTTTATAAATTTAGATAAAAAAATACAAATCTATAAAATGTAATTCTAAATAATTCTTCAAAAGTTAATATTTTTTCTTACCAATAACTTTATTTTAAAAAATATTAAACAAACTTTTTCCCATTAACAAGCGAATAAATGAAATACCGATACCCATCACCTACATATATCCATTTAATATGGACACAACGCATTTATAACTCTACTCAGTACCTTTTAAGCCCAAGACTGCATAATCGGTTTAGCATGATGGTTACATTGGAAAAAAAAAACTAGAAATCTTAACAAATTATATTCTAAATTAAATTAAATTATTATTTATTTAAAATTTTTAACTTGAGATATAAATGAGTGAGTTTATAAATTTGATTTATTTTATAAAATAATAATTATATTTAAAATATAAAAATATTATTTTATTATATATATATATATATATATATATATATTAATTATAATTTATATATAAAACATTATTTTATTTAAACTAAAAAATAATTTTATTAATTTAACTTAAATTTTATTAATGTTGTGTTTTAATTTTTATCTTACTTTTCTTAAATTGAATTAAAATAATCTATTAATTTATTAACATAGAAATAACGAAATAATTTATTTTAAAATATGGGTTGAATTGACCTTAATATTAAGGTTGGATTGAAACTAAAAACATAATTTGTTTTAAAATATGGATTGAATTGACCTAATATAATATTTAGATGATAACTCATATCATATTATATTGAATTCCGTTAAGAAATAAGAGTCTTTTTTATCTTATATTCTCGATTTTATATTTATCATGATATAAAAATTTAGAGTTAATTTTATATTTATTATGATATAAAAATTTAGGATTAATCTTTATATATTATTTATTTTAGAATTTTAGTCTGCCAAAATCTTATCTTAAAGGAGACGTACGTTAATAATAAATTGAGAGAAAAAAATGCATGTAAACTTATTGAAATATAAGTGGTTAAACTACCGTAAGAATCGTATTTCTGAGAGCCCTATTCAAGCCTCGTTGCAAAACTCAGTAAGTAATGAGACGGTCCAATCCCCTAAGAAGATAAAGGCCAAACATTGAATCCTGGAAGAGGATCTAGTAGTCTTAGAAATTGTCAGTATCTAATTTTATGAAATTATTATCAGATTACTTTGGGTAATAAATAATAATATTTTCTCATTCACACACTTATTCATATTCAAACAATCCAGTGTTTTATTTTATTCGGTTATAATAAATAATGCATTTAATAACATTAATTGATAGAATCTCCTAATTTACTCAACGTGTATATATTGTAACGTGAAAATTTAATAGAAACAGCCATCTATTGCAAAATCTTCCAAGACGTTAAAATAAAAGGGAAAGTAGTTCAGATATAACGAAAAAAAAACTTTTAATTCACACACTTTCCATCTTCTCCCTCCCACGTCTTCGGTTTCTCTCTTCCTCAATGCCACCACATCTTCCACATTCATAACCAAAAGTCATGGCTCTTAAAGGCTTGTTGGGTTCCGTTGGTTTGACCCTTTGTTTCTTTGTCTTAGAATTGGAGCCACATCAAGCACAGACATTGAGCCTTGGCCTTTCTGTTAGAGAAAACATTTCATCAAATTCTCCCATTCAAGGCTTATGCGCCTCTTCAGTCATCCTTCATGGTTACAAATGTCAAGAACTTGAAGTAAGACCTCTAAACATATTTTATAACACATGCATTAATTCTTACATATGTTTAGGATATATGCATGGAAATCAATTACGTTTAAGTTAACCAGAGACAGATCCAGAGATAACAATCGCTGAATTTTTTTAACTCCTTTGAATTTCTAACTTTTTGGGACACACGCTTAAAAATTCTTATAATTAATTTTTCTTTTAATATTCTTCAAAATATAGACAAGCATGATTGTAATGTCATACTAATCTGAAGAACTTTAAGGTTGCGATTGAAACCATATTTACAATATCTTTGAAACTTAATTGTGTAAACAACTTTTCTTTTACATTTTCACTTTAATTAGAAAACTGTCATGTTTTTTCAATAGTTTTGTGTTTCCTATACAATTTTTTTTAACAAACCAGAAAATATATTAAAGATAGAAAATAAGGTACTAAGTTTATCTTCAATATTTTTCCATTTTTGTTATTGTGTTACGTTAAAATGTTCTCCATTTTTAATCACAAACTCAGTATCTTATGAAGATAAAGGAGAGATATGTTAAGAAACAAGTATTAGGTTTGAGATTAAAAATATAGATTTGGAAATTTTCCGTTTTATTATTGTTTTATGTTAGGTTTTTCATTTTTAATCATAAACATAATATATTAGGTTAGATTTATGATTGAAAATGAAAACAAAAAGAAAAACAATACTAAATAGATATCTGATGTATATATATTATCTTTCTTGATTAGATTCCTTTGCATTCTTATTCTTTTATTTTTTGACCCAAAATAAGTGGATAAAAATATTATTATAAACAGTTAATATTTCATTATATATAACAATTAAAATGAAACAATTTGTTTCTTAAACTGTCGAACAAATGAGAAAAAAATCACCTTAGAATATGGTTTAAAATGCTGGAAATGTTAATCAGGTTACAACAACAGATGGGTACATTCTCAGCCTTCAAAGGATCCCTCAAGGTCGAACTCAGGTTTGTGACATTGAGACTGTGAAACAGCCGGTGATAATACAACACGGAGTATTGGTGGTAAGTTATAATGCAGCAATTTCAGTTTAGCCATTCTTCCATGAATTCATGTGTGAATTCACATAACCAACTAAAAGATCCAAAAAGTAAACGTTAGGAATATATTAAAATAGGGTAAAACTTGATGCACTGACAGTGTAACCGTTGTAATATAACTCAAATAATTGATATGGTTTTCGAGTTAGTGTAGCTTCATGAATCTTGGTGTGTGTAGCATAAAAAATTAGGGAGTGTAACAAGGTGAAAGAGAGAGTATGACGAATAAAATCTTGGCCTGCAATATTTATTTGTTAGTGAGTGCCTTCTTCTCAACAAAATGGTATTAAGAGCTACTGTTAATGGCCTCTGTGTGTGTGTGTGTGTGTGTGTGAACTATATGAGTCACTGGCAATCACGGAGGGTTCAAATGGCTCTTTCCTACCCAACTTACCTATGTTCGACGCCAGGAATTTTTATCAATGTTGTGTGAAGAGATGCAACAGATGTGTAAAAGACAGTATACAGAGAATCTAATATGATGGATTGTAAAGCCCTTTTCTTGATTCATCAATGTGCAGATGTTGCAAACTTTGAGAAAATTGCCTAAACTAAATTTTGGGTAAGCCTTGGATATCCTGCACAAAGTCTGTATGCAGGTGCGTGCTGACAACATAAAGTAAGTGAAGCTCCAATATGCTTGACGACGATATGCATTGATACCTGTGAATGATAAGAGTCCATAGCTGATTATTCAAAAGAATCTAAGTTCTTGTAAATTCAATGAAATCTTGCAATTTATATATCAACAAATTGTTGACAAGATGTTGAGAACATCGACTTCCCTCTATTTGACCTTGTGGTGACAATACAATAATCAAAGGATACTGGGAAAATAAGGGTGTGGAGGAGTTATAGAAGAGGCAGAATGGTGAAAAGGTTCAAGAAAAAGCTCTGCAAGCGCAAACTGGTCTAAGATACAGGTTAAATGCCACCATTGTAATATGAAATACAAGAGTGGGAAAAGAGAAAAGGGAAAACCTAATGATGAAATGTATGGAGGGTAAGATTCAGATGAAGTAATAGTGACCACAAATTCTAACTCTGATAACTTTGAATGTTGGTATTATCCAATCCAAATCATATATTAGACACAGAAAATTTACTTGACTTTGATGCACCGGTCATGAATAAGATAAGATTTGTTGACAATTATATCATATCAGTTGAAGGAATTGGAAAAATTATTATTAAAAGAGAGTGATGGAAGCCTACACATGAATAATGTCTTGTATATGCCCTTAATGTACGAACATGAAAAATTATATGGAGATATTTGATTATAAGAATAAAGGTTCTTTTGTCTAAAAGGATAACCTTCAAGGTAAATTTTGTACTGGGGTAGATTGTTTCAACCAATAAGAGGTGGTGGTAGCACTATACAAATTTGGTCATTTAAATTTCAAAAGCCTGAATCATATTGAAGTGAAACAAATGGTACATAAAAGATTACGAAGGGTGCCTTGTGAGCAAAAACTCAACGAAAGAATCCAAATACTATGTAGCTTCCCAGTCAAGACAACCTTTGGAACTGGTTCATTCGTATGTGTGAGGTTCAATTCACCACCTTATGGTGGTTATTATTAATCTACAATATTTTTAGATAATTTTAGGTTTTCTTAGCTCAAGAATGACCAAAATTTCTATTACTTTGATAGATAACTACAAAATCATGGTATTGTTCATCGTTTAGCAGCCTCTCTAATCTGTCTTCACGTTTACATATATGACAGTAGACTTGGTGAGATGATGGGTGGAGAAGTTGTGTTTGTTCTTAATCGAAAGGAACAAATGGTTCTATTGTTATGATTTCCGAATGTTGTTTATTGATATGATCAGACATGGTGGGTACGCAGGATGGAATGACATGGCTTCTGAACCCTCCAGAACAAAACCTGCCCTTGATTCTAGCTGATAATGGCTTTGACGTGTGGATTGCTAATGCCAGAGGAACAAGATATAGCCGCAAGCACACCTCTCTGGACCCCTCTAAACCAGTTAGTCATCATTTTTATTTATTTTTGTGTTATTATTTTATTGACACTCGATAATAATGTCATCGTTACTTTTATTAACAATTTTTCGCAACATGGAAGGCTTACTGGAATTGGTGCTGGGATGATATGGTGACTTATGATTTGCCTGCTATTTTTGATTATGTGTCCAACCAAACTGGACAGAAGATAAATTACGTGGGACATTCTTTGGTGAGTACTGTATTACATAAATATCATGTGTCATATATAAGTTAGAACAAAACTGTTAGTATGTTAGGAAGGATAGGAAAGATAGTTTGATGTTTAGTAGTGTGATTTGTGTAGAAAATAGTTTTTAGAAAAATGTGGACAAATACGAGAAGGTTTGTACGAGGGAAGATAGTAATTGATGTTAAAAGTGTTACAAGATATGTAAGAGCTTTTATTAGATTTTTCACACATACAAAGACTCCCTTCATACCTATTTATAGGCTTTATTTACAAGATTCTAGAATTTTCTACTAATTTCATTATTTCTACACTATTCTATTTCTACACATTTCTTCTTCTTTTTCTTTTTCTAGAATCATGTTGTAGTTTCTACTAGTGCACGTATGTTTTCTACATAATTCTATAAGTTTTATATAATTCTAGATTTTCTTAATTCTAGAAGTTTTACATAATTCTAGATTTTCTTAATTTTAGAATTATCTATCTTCTACTTTCAAACATTTCTAGAATCTTCTAAGGGTTCTAGATATTACTCATATGTAATTCCTAATTCTAGTAACATCTAAGATTTTATATTCTGGATCTTTCTAGAATTTGTATCATCTTTCAACACTCCTCCTTGATGCAAATTCTTATAACTCCAAGCATGAAACGTAATTGTTCAAACTTGGCTCTTGGTAGTACCTTGGTAAATATGTCTGCAATTTGATCTTCTGTAGTGCAGTACTCAAGTTGAATTTGTTTAGTCGCTTCAGCCTCTCTGATGAAGTGATATTTAATATCTATATGTTTTGTTCTTTGATGATGAACAGGATTCTTCATCAATGCTATTGCTGACTTGTTGTCGCAATAGATAGTAGTTGGTCCATCTTGTAGTTCGCCCATTTCTTTAAGTATTATTCGTAGCCATATTGCTTGACTTGTAGTTTCAGCAGCAGCTACGTATTCTGCTTCAGCTGTTGATTGTGCCACAGTTGCTTGCTTCTTTGATGCCCATGAGAAAAAACCTGATCCAAGTGAGAAGGCGTATCCTGACGTACTCTTCATGTCGTCTATTGATCCTGCCCAATCACTGTCGGTGTAGCAAATCATCCTTGAGTTGGTCATGGTCTTGTACCATATACCAAACTCTCTTGTGCCTTGCAGATACTTTAAAATCATTTTTCCTGCTCCATAGTGAATCTGACTTGGCTTTTGCATGAATCTTGACAGAAGACTTGTAGCATACATAATGTCTGGTCGTGTAGCTGTGAGATATAGAAGGCTTCCGATCAAACTCCTATATCGTGATACATCTACTTCTGGTGCTCCATCATCTTTCTTTAGCTTTTCGTTTACCACCAAAGGAGTAGTGACAGGTTTACATCCGTATATCTTAAATCTCTTTAGTAGAGCTTCAGTATATTTCTTCTGAGAGATAAATATTCCTTCTTTTTATTGTATCACCTCTATCCCGAGGAAGTAGTTCATCAAGCCAAGATCAGTCATTTCGAATGTTTTCATCATATCTTTTTTTAATTCTTTCATCATTTCCTATTGTTTCCTGTATAGATGAGATCATCAACATATAAGGAGACAATGAGATTATATTGACCTTGTGTCTTGATATAAAGTGTTGGTTCACTCTTGTTCCTCCTAAATCCTTGATCGATAAAATATTTATCAATCTTACTATACCATGCTCGAGGAGCTTGCTTCAGGCCATATAGAGCTTTTCTTAGTCTTAGTACTTTTCCTTCGTGGCCTTTGTTGATGAAGCCTTGTGGTTACTCAACATAGATCTCTTCTTCAAGTGTTCCATTGAGAAAGGCAGATTTGACATCCAGTTGATGGATGTTCCAACCTTTTTGTGCAGCAAGGGCTATTAAAGCTCTAATTGTATCCAGGCGAGCAACTGAAGCAAAAGTCTCATTGTAGTCGATCCCAGGTTGTTGTGAGTATCCTTTTGCGACCAATCTTGTCTTATATTTTTGTATGGTTCCATCAGGGTTGAACTTAGTTTTATATATCCATTTTACTCCAATGATATCTTTTCCGTGAGGACAGTCCACAAGCTCCCAAGTATTATTCTTCTCAATCATTTTGATTTCTTCTTCCATGGCCTTGACCCATACTTCTTGCTTTGAAGCTTCTTCATAGCAGGAAGGCTCAATGATGGCCATGTTACAAGTTTCATATATATCTACTAAAGATCTTACACGTCTTGGTGTAGACTCTGGTGAAGTATATTCTTCTTCTTCTTGTGGAGGTGGAGAAAGCGAACCTGGATCTCCTGTTTCTTCTTCAGGTTGTTGTACTGGAACCCGGATGTTGCTTCTAACAACTTTTTCTTCTTCCCAATTCCAAAAAGCATTTTCGTCAACCTCAACATCTCGACTAATGACGATTTTCTTTGTTTGTAGGTTGTAGATTCGATAGCCTTTTGATTGTTGGTTGTATCCCAAGAATATTCCTCTTATAGTTTTGTCTTCAAGCTTATGCCTCCTCTGATTAGGAACATGTATGTAGCAAATTGATCCAAATATTCGTAGGTGTTTAGCTGATGGTTTTCTTCCACTCCAAGATTCAATAGGAGTCTTGTTTTGAACTGCCTTAGTTGGACATCTATTGAGTATATATACAGTAGTATAAATTGCTTCTGCCCAAAAAGTATTTGGCAAGCCTTTCTCCTTCAACATTGATCTTGCCATCTCCATGACAGTGTGATTTTTTCTCTCCGAGATACCATTCTGTTGTGGAGAATATGCGACTGTAAGTTGTCGCTCAATACCTTCATCCTCACAGAATTTATCAAATTCGTGGGAGGTGTACTCTTTGCCTCGATCGCTCCTGAGAACCTTTATCTGTTTTCCGCTTTGCTTTTCGACAAGGGCCTTAAATTTCTTGAATATTCTAAAGACTTCTGATTTTGCTTTGATGAAGTAGACCCAAGTCATTCTAGAAAAATCATCAATGAAGAGAATGAAGTACCTGTTGTTATTAAGCGATGGAGTCCTCATTGGTCTGCAAATATCTGTGTGGATTAACTCCAACAAGTCTTTTGCTCTCCAAGTATTTCCTGTAGAAAATGGTAATCTGTGTTGCTTTCCCAAAAGACATCACAAGCTTCACTACTCTCCTTAAGGCTTGGTAGATCTCTTATCATGCATTTTTGATGTAGTAGCTTTAAGGCATGAGTATTGAAGTGGCCAAATCTACGATGTCATAGCCACGAGTCATCAACTTCTACTTTCATGGCAATGTTAGTTCCTCGATTGAAGCTTATAGGAAAACTTCTATTTCTCTTTTCCATTTTTACTTGGTCAATCTCTAGATTTTTCTTATCATAGATAGTGCATGTATCTCTTTCAAAGTGGAGAGTATATCCTTTCTCCATCATTTGACCAATACTTAAGAGATTTTCTTTAAGATTGGGAACTAGTAAGACATCATTGATAAGTCCCATACCTTTCTTGGTCTCCACCATAACACTACATTTTCCTTTTGACTCTACCACGGTGACATTTCCCAATCGTACTTGAACTTTGATGGAGTTATCAATTTCTTTGAAGATGCTTGGATCATTCGCCATATGGTTACTACACCCGCTGTCCAAGTACCATCTTCCTTTTGATTCATTGTCAGAACATCCCGTAGCATAGAAGAGATGTTATTCTCTGTCCCGTTCTTCAACAAAATTTGCTTGTTCATGATTTTTGTTGCGACACATTTTCTCTAGATGTCCAAATTTCTTACAATATTGACATTGAGGTTTTCCTCGATACCAACAATCTTTTTCCAAGTGACTTGTCTTTTTGCAAGTTCCACATGGAGGATATTTTCCTTGAATAGTCTTAGAAAAATTTCTAGAATCTTCCTTATTCTTAGAAAGTTCTCTATTAATTTTATTTCCTCCATTTTGAGACCGTATTTTTAGTTTTGATTGAAAGACATTTTCGACTCAGTCTTCTTCACGCCTTTTCAATCTTTGTTCATATGCTTCAAGAGAGTCTATTAGTAGTGTCACCGATAATGTAGATAAATCTTTTGTTTGTTCAATTGCAGTTGCAATTGCATCATATTTTTGGGGAATAGAAATTAGAATTTTCTCAACAATTTTCTTGTCAAGAATTTTTTCCCCCATAGGCTCTCATCTGACTAACTATTTCTTTTATTCTAGAATAATAATCTTTTATGGTCTCAGATTCATTCATTCTTATTAACTCAAATTCTCTTCTTAGTGAATGAAGTTTAATATTGCGTACCTCATCACTTCCTTAAAACTCTTCCTGAATTGTATTCCAAGCTTCCTTTGCACTTGTGGCACCCAATATTCTTGGAAAAATAGTGTCATCAACTGTTTGCTGAAGAGTAAATAATGTCCTTGAATCCTTCTGTTTGTTTTCCTTCAGCTCCTTCCTCTGGGAAGCTGTAAGAGTTGAGATGTCTTCTGGAATAGTGAACCCATCTTCTATGACGTCCTAAAGATCTTGAGAACAAAAAAATGTCCTCATTTTGACTCTCCAAAAATCATAGTTTTCTCCCTTAAAAATAGGAACTGGAATGGATGATGTTTGGTTGGTAGTGGCCATAGGTTGAAAATTTTCTTTTGGAAGTAATGTGTAGTGGAATATGGTTTTTTAAGGTAGTAAAAAATTTTCTCTACGCCCAGTAGGTGACCGAACGTAGCTCTGGTACCACTGTTAGTATTTTAGGAAGGATAGGAAAGATAGTTTGATGTTTAGTAGTGAGATTTGTGTAGAAAATAGTTTTTAGAAAGAGGTGGACAAATAGGAGAAGGTTTGTATGAGGGAAGATAGTAATTGATGTTAGAAGTGTTACAAGATATGTAAGAGCTTGTATTAGATTTTTCACACATACAAAGACTCCTTTCATGCCTATTTATAGACTTTACTTACAAGATTCTAGAATTTTCTACTAATTTCATTGTTTCTATACTATTCTATTTCTACATATTTTTTCTTTTTTTTCTTTTTCTAGAATCATGTTGTAGTTTCTACTAGTACACATATGTTTTCTACATAATTCTAGAAATTTTACATAATTCTAGATTTTCTTAATTCTAAAATTATCTATTTTCTATTTTCAAATATTTCTAGAATCTTCTAAGGATTCTAGATATTACTCATATGTAATTCTTAATTCTAGTAACATCTAAGATTTTATATTTTAGATCTTTCTAGAATTTGTATCATCTTTAAACAAAAACTGAAACAAATTTATTTGGAGAATTGGATTGCGAACCTTTAATATTATGTGAATAAAGAAATAAAAGAAAAACAACCAAGAAAATTCATATATGTATATTCCCCTAAGTATTGTGTCTAATAACTATTGTACTAAAACTTAAGGGCGTGTTTGTCAGGGAACTTTGATAGTTTTGGCGTCCTTCTCCGAAGGAAAATTAGTGAATCAGCTAAAATCAGCAGCCTTGTTAAGTCCCGTAGCGTATTTAAATCACATGAAGACAGAAATTGGAATTATTGCTGCCAACTCATTTATTGGAGAGGTAAATAAGCAAATAAATTATACTAACTTTTTTATCTATTTTTTTCTTTTTTAAAATAAATTGTATTAAAAAAATGTAATTAGATGAATTTCCCGATAATAGTTTATAAAAATAAAATAAAATTGACTTCTCTCCAAATTAAATTTAGTTTATACATAAATTTGACTGATAAATATATTTTTAGTTTTTTTTTTTAATTTATATTCAGTTCGTATACTTTCAAATTATCTATTCAAACATCCAACTTTTGATAGTATTTAGTCATTTTCATACCAAATTTAATATTTAATAACAATTTTTTATCATACAAAATTAATACAAATGTTAAATTTATAATAAGTTTTTTAAAATTTAAAGATTAATTGATAAACATTTAAAATTTAAGGACCAAGATTAAATTTCACAGGCTTAAATTTAAGATAAAAAATTCATAGAAGTTATATAATAGTATTTTTTTAAATTAAAATATACATAATATAACTTTAACTTATGAAATTTTATTTATTATTTTTTTCATTTCTCACCTAAAAGCTCTTATGGAGAATCTTATCTGAACATGGCATACTTTGTTAGAGAGGTTTCTAATTCATTTTTTGTATTCCTCATATAGATCATAACCGCGAGTGGTGAGCCAGAATTTGATCCCAAAGGGTAAGAACATAGAAATTAAATGTTAACATGGTCTAATTATAAAATCCATTGGTATGTTCCATACACAATTTAATAATCTTTCAACATACTTTGACTAGGTTACCTGTTCATCGATTTATGGAGGCTCTCTGCCGTGACCCTGGGGTAGATTGTTCAGACTTGTTTACTGCAATAACTGGTTTAAGTCTTTGCTCAATCTCTTATCTCTAGACACATTTTCAAAAAAGTAAAATTTCCCAGCTTTTGATCATGTCCATGTATGGTTGATTTTGCCTTATTCAGGTGATAACTGCTGCCTCAATTCTTCAACTGTTAATCTATTCATGATGCATGAACCTCAGCCAACATCTACAAAGAACGTCGTGCACTTGTCTCAGAGTAAGAATTTTTCAATCTGACCACTTAGTTAACTGTTCTATATTTTGTCATATTTCAAAAGATTAAAGTTTATTAAATCTGTTTATAACATTTCCAGATTTTACACAAACACACACACATATATAATCAGAATTGTTTCTCCATGAAAATAAATCATATCTATCTCTGGGTTTATTTTTCTGATAGTTTTGCACCTTCAGTGTTGTCTGACAGATTCTTGTTCTTTATGTTGAAAACTTACAACATATCTTGGATAAATTCTTGAGGACAGTGTTCTTAGACATTAGAACGTGTTTATTTACTTATCTATATTTGATTTTATTCCAACACTAACTAATTAATGGAGCAATGACTGGATCTACTGTGATTTTATGCAGCTGTTAGAGATGGGGTTCTGGCGAAATTCGACAATGGAAAAATTACTCCTCAAATCTATAACCTTTCAAATATCCCCCATAACCTCCCTCTTTTCATAAGCTATGGAGGTGAAGATGCCCTATCTGATGTTCTTGATGTCAGGAAACTGCTTGATGATCTCAAGTTCCATGATGCAGACAAGCTAAGTGTTCAGTTCATCAACAACTACGCTCATGCAGACTATGTTATGGCATTCAATGCCAAGGACATAGTGTACAATCATGTTACTGCATTTTTCAAAAGACAATTTTAACACTTGATGGAGAGCATGAGCAGAATACTTAAGCTGTGCCTTCTAATTTTTATTATTTAAAATTTTTAAATTCAATTATTATCACTTTATAAATTCATAATTCTGATAACATATATTAAAATGAATTGAAAAATATTAATAACTCAAACTTTGATATTTTATAGCTGTTTACACATATGTCTTACATTCGGAAATAAGGTTATATTTGATTTAAAAAAAAAAATTAATCTGACTTATATCACCTCATCTTTAAAATTAATACATATATAGAGAAAAAAAAAAAAAAGATAACAATGTGGAAGAAAAAGATTAATAAGAAGAATGAGAATTGAATTATTGTTTTTTTTTTCACTGTCATGACATGACAAAAATCAAATGATACAGTGTGTAATTGTGATACAGAAGAGAAAAATAGAATAAAAAAATATACTTTATTTAATTTTAATCGGATTATATATATATATATATATATATATATATATATATATATAAAGCTCTTATTTAATTTTTATTTTTTAAAATATATTTTAATGGGTTAAGTGAGAATAATATATATAAATTATTAATTCTAAATTTTATTCAAATTTTATTTTTTAAAATATATTTTAATGAGTTAAGAGAGAATAATATATATAAATTATTGATTCTAAATTATATAAGATTAATCAATATATCAGAATAATATATATATATATATATATATATATATGAAAAAGAATTTTTTTTTAGTAAAAGTATGTTTCATTTCATTTGTGTGAAGTTTGTTTCGTATAAAAGTTTTATAGGTTTTTAATTATTTTTCAAAAATCAATGTAGTAATGAAGATATATTATTTTTTATACTTTCAATATTTTCTTATTCTAAACAAAACTTTAAAATTTGGAAATAAGTGGAAAATTCAACATTCTAAAAATAATAGATATATGTCATTTTTTTTTCTTTGTTTGGTCTATATTTGTGACCTGATTAAGAATTGGGTATCTTTGTTTAAACGTGAAGCTTCATCATCCTTTACCAACCCAAGAAAATGCTTGGCGGTTAATCAAATATCTGAAACAGAAGATTGATACTTCACAAACAATGCACCATTGTTTTACCCTCTAATCAAAGAGATGACAAAGTTAGGTTCACCGTAGATTCAAACATAATTTTTATTTTTACCAACTTTGAAATACCAACTTCAACACACATATAGGATATGGACATTAAAACATGATTAAATATTCGATATATAGAAAAGGAACACAAAATAAATATATAAATAAATATATATATATATATATATATATATATATATATATTTATATTATTACTTAGTTAATGAATTTCACAACATTTAAAAGTTAAAACTAAATATCATTTAGAAATCAAGACTAGAAATAGTTTATATATTTTTTTTTCTTATTTCTTAACCTATTGATACGTGTTATGATGAATTTAAGATTTAAATATCAGTTTTTGTAGATGGAACATTATTCATATAAGTCACATTATAAAAATATTTTTTTCTCACTCAAAATAAATTTCTAAAAATCAAGGACCTTAATTGGTAAAACAAATAATTAAGTTTTTATATTTATCTCTTGAAACATATTTTTTAGTAGTTAAAGCGACTAATTAAATCTAATAAAAACGAAATCTAAAAAGAATTTGTGACGAGTCTTACAATATTCCTAATTCAGGTATAATTTTTTTTTATGTCTTTGTAGTTTCTTTTTATGATAGTCATGTTTAGAAAATGTTAAGCGGAAAAGTAATTTTTTAATTAAATTTTGATCTCCTAATTTTTTTTTAATTTGTTTAATTTTCAGCTCAATTACTCAATTTTTTTTTTTACTTTTTTGTCATCCATGAGATTGAGGAAAAATCCATGGTACACCTATTTATAATAGTAAAGAGGGTAGCAGTTGCAGGAATTTATAATTAATATAATTTGATAATGATTCAATCTAATTGAATGAAGTTATAAATAATTAAAAATCAAGGATTAAAATTGTGTAAAAAAAATCAATAATTAAAATTCAAAGGACTAAAAATGTGACAAAAGTTGTAGAAACTAAAATTACATATTTTACAAGATATGTTTTGCAGAAAAAAAATATAATTATTTCATTTAGGAAGGATAATAATAAATAATTTAATGGGTTAATTCTAAATCTTTAAAATGTTATTTGCTTTAAAATTTTAATCTCCATTTCTAAAGTGTTTATACCAAATTTTATAATCTCCATTTCTAAACTAGGATATTTATAAATGGAATCATAAACAATAATTAATCCCATATTGGAAACATTGGGTGGATAAAGATGTTGTCTCACCATGAGTATAAATAGAAATGAATGATAGGAGATGTTTCCACAATCTCCAAAATAGTGATAGAAGAAGGGTGAAAAGGAAGAAAGAAGCAAAGAATGGGGCAGAAGAAGAGAGTTTTGGTGGCACTGATTGCTACCATGATTGCAAAGGTGGCCTTTGCAGCTCAACATGTTGTTGGTGGAAGCCAAGGCTGGGATCAATCCACAGACTTCAAGTCATGGTCTTCAGGCCAAACATTCAAGGTTGGAGATAAACTTGGTATGCTTCTCTTTCACATAACTACTACACAATTTTAGTATTTTTTTTTTTAATATTTTTAGATAAACAAAATTAAGTTTTAGTAAAAATATTTGTTGATATATCAGATATTAATTGTTATATTATAATTTGCAATACTATCCTTAAAATTGAAAAATTGATTGTGTATGCTTATTTATATTGATAAAATATTTTTGGAAAATATATTGAGCATATAGTATATTAAATATAGATAGTTTTATATTATTTTAAACTAACATTTTTAACTATTTAAATAATGTAAAATAAAGTTATGTGAATTTTTGGATATTTTGAGTTTGTTAATTTCATGGACGAATAAATTTATAGTATTGTAACTACGAAAAAAAAGTCTATTGGGTTGTTTGTTAATAAGCAAAAAAAAAAAGTAATGTTAATTTAATATTTTAAGTTTGTCAACATTTCCCTGTTTATGAAAATATATAAATAATTATATAAATTATTTTCTTAAGATCATTTCACTATTTTAATTTTGTTATTTTAAAACATATTTTATAAAGAATAACAATTGATTATATATTTTGTATCGTTTTTTAATTTTAATATTAAGAAAAGGATGGTTGTTGTTTTTTTTTTTAAATACTATAAATAGTTTTCATGATTTCTTTATTGGTAAATATTTCTGTAACAAAAGAAAATCAACTTTAACCAAATAATAATAATTTTTTTTTCATTACTTAACTTGTTAAATTTGTTTTTAATATTTTTATTCAAAAATTGAATTTAAGAAATATCTAGAAAAATTTAGACATCCAGTGGATGAAAAAATTTGAATTTTCTTCTAAATTTCATATTTCTAAATAATATATGTACAATCAACTTTGATTTTTTATTTCTAAATAATAAATTTTGATTTTATTTTATTTTTAAATAAATAAAAAAGAAGTGTCATAACATTGTCAAATTAAAGCATAGTAATACTCAAAATCAAAAGCTTAGGTAATTAAGTGTATATTTTTTTTTCTATTTGGAAAAATAAGGGTCTTGAACATTTCTCTCTATAGTAGTAATATAATTGCTTTTTAATGAAAAATATAAGAATTAGAAAACAAAATATTTTGCGTAATGTAACAATATTGACATCTTCATAATTAAGACAATATCCATAATAACTAAATATTTTATTTTCGGTGAATATTAATCAAGGAACTTAATTTAATATTATGATAGCATGTTAATTTATAATTCCCTTTCTTCTTGTTTATTTACTACTTGATCGATATCCAAATTTTAATCTATAAATAAATATATTTTAATTATTATTTAAAATAGTTTATACAACATAATTTAAATAGATAGAAATTGTGCGTATATATATATAATATAAGTTGATAAATATTGATACGATATTATTTGTTCTCTTATATAAAAATCACCACAAATTTTTAAAAAACTTTTGTCAATTATGAAACTAAATCAGCCTTAAATCCTATATAATATCAAAACTATTTAATTATATGAAACATATATATAAATAACATTGATGTGAACTATTTAATTGTTTATTAAGTACAATTAGGACCATTTAATTCAAATATGGTTAATGAAAGTTGAATTTAAAATGAATTTGAGTTTCCTTTTATTATTTGTTTATTTATATGTGGAGATATTGTGTGTGCGAAGATTTACTTAATTTATAAGGAAGAGTAAATGCTGTGTTGAAAATTGTGATTCCAAGCACTGTGTTGAAAATTTTGATTATATGTCAATATTTATGGCTATTAATATCATTATGATTATTTGCAGTTTTCAAGTACAGTTCTCTGCATAGTGTGGTGGAATTAGGCAACGCTAATGCCTACAAGAATTGTGATATTAGCAGTCCAATCCAATCCTTGGGTACTGGCAATGATGTTGTGAAATTGGACAAGCCAGGTACGAGGTACTTCACTTGTGGTACCTTGGGTCACTGTAGTCAAGGGATGAAGCTGAAAATTACCATCATCAAAGGGAATGCTCCTTCGCCTACATTGTCGCCATCTTCCTCACCGTCTCCATCGTCAATAACACCACCATCTTCTACTTCTTCTCCTACTACTGTTATTGATGCATCTTCAGCCTCACAATGCTTCACCTCATTCTTCTTCCTTCTTGCATCATCACTCACTCTCATGGTTTCCTTGATAAAACAAAGTTAGGGTTTGTACATGTTTGTCACTTGTGGGTATGGTGTCTGAAAATTTTAATTCACCTTGTTCTATTTCACCCTTATTGGAATCACCTTAGTCCCTCGTTCAGGCATAGAAGGGACATGCATATACCTTAAGTATTAAAAGTTCACCATATATATATGCAATAATAATTTTCCTTGTATCTTATAATCACTTTTTAATTTTATAAAATGTAAAATGTAAGAGTAAATATTACGGTAAATTTCATATTATGTTCCAAAATCTAATACTTAAGATTAATTATTATTTTAAATTAATAAATTATTAAAAAATAATGATAATCAAATATAAGTTTTTAATTTTTATTTTAAGAATGAACGGATCTTCACTTATAATTTATATATTAAGTTATTAAATAAAAAATAATTTTATTAATATAATTTAAATTAAAAAATATATTTTTTTATTTAAATAATTATTTTAATTTTTAATCAGATCAAAATTCACACATTAATTTTTTATCCAACTATACGAATAAGTTAGACTGAAAATTACATTCTATCATAAGTCAAGTTAAGTTATTAATTTTTTTATCTGGATCGTTAAGCTATAACCTGATCAAGTTCGATTATCCGTTTTAACTATACTAATTATTATTATCATTTTTTATTTATTTTTAAAGAGTTTTTTAAAGTAGAATCCAAAGATTTGTACGTTTATATTTTAATTAAAAAATGAATGATGTTTTTATTTCATAAGATTTATGTTTCACATTGATAAATTATCAATGAATTTATTTCAGCATTTAACATTATGATATATTATTATTCCATAGATAATTTAGCCTTGAATATTAATATTTTAGTTTCTACTACATAACCATGATATTCTCCATAGTTTTAATTATATTTGTGTGACTTGTAAGCAATAACAATCATTAGTTAAAATGACAGCTAACCACTATAATTAGAGGTACAAATTCCGCCAAAATCAAAACAAACTCATACCTACTCAAAAGAAACATTAGGAACTAAAATAAGAAAATATAATTTCATCAAAAAAGGAAGTATTTTAGAAAATACCCTTAATTTTATTATTCAGTAAATAGTATGCTTTAAAATCGTGTCATGACAATAAAAAGCACGGAAAACAAATTGTAATAATCTTAATGTATGTTTAGGAACTTAAGGTTAGGAACATACTAGAGTTATACAAACAATATGTTTATAAAACAAAGGCCAAGAAAAAAAATAGAAAGCATATCTCAAACTTCAAAACGTTAATTTTTTTCATATTGCTCATAATTTAGCTTACTAAGTTCAGAAATGTTAAGAAATAATATTTGTATAGATATTCAAATAATAATAATAATAATAATAATAATAATTTATAAAATAAAAATACTATGAAAAGTAAATATATTTTGTCTAAAATAAATAAAAAATAATGGTAAAAACTATAAAATATTTATTTGAAAAACAATAAATGTGCTATTATCTTTACAATAGAAATTATAAATAAAAATAAAAATAAAACTCGTAAATAATGATAAAGTAATATTACGTAGCAAGTTCCGTCTCTAGTAAAGATTGCTTGATTGGTGCTAAAATACCCAAATCTCACATCACCAAAAAAAAAATTTAAAAATGGTTAACTATATATATATATTTTGTAAATTTACTGGGTCGTTTGAATGGGATAAAATAGAAAAGGAAAAAAGGAAAGGGGATTTGATTTTTATTACTGGATAAAACTTGTGAGACAAAAATAGGAAAAATTGAATATGGTTGAACATCAATGGTTATCCTTCTCCATGCATGGCCCGAATAATGCAAAACTGAGGAAAAGCTTCTTGCTGAATAGAGAAAATTGTCCCAATAAAGCTGCTTGTCCATTCATTCACATTTGATAACAAAGCTTCACTTCCTCTTTGATTTTACCAAGTGAGGAAACACTGTCAGAATGTTGTATGCCAGTAGATCCTGCCTGGTCAAGATCCCAATCACAGGAGACACCTATGGGGAGAAAAAGGTTAAGGTTAGTCATATATGGCTATTTTACATAACTACACATCAATCCCAGATTATCTTTTAAGTTTAAATATGTTTTTATTCTCTGTAAAAAAAAAAACCAAAATATTAGTTTTTAGTCACTCAAAGTTAAAGTCTTTGTCCCTTATTTGTGAATGTTTGTTTATGTGGTCTTTATTTTCATGATGAAAAATTTCAGAGAAAGTATAAACTTTTTTCCCTTATCAGAACACTAACATGGTCTTATTTTGCAGAAATTAAAGTCATATTTAATCTTCTTGTTTCTTTTCATCTCTTGAAATACTTTCGAAAGAAAGGACTAAATCAAATTTAATGTTTAATGGAATTAATGTGCTTAATAAACTCACCCCAGAGGCTTGATACTTTGGCACAACAAGCATATGGCGAAGTCCAAGTTGTCTGAAGAGAACCATTGCTTTTGCTACTGACATACTCTCTAGCACTGTGAAGGGAGTTGTATTGGTGAGAGGATGTAGATCAACAAACATCTCCATTTCTTCTTTAGTCACAGCCACATCTTCAATGTTTCCTTCCCTCTCAGCCAGCTCAACCCATGTAAATTTCTCTCTCACTTCCCAGTCCTCAGTTCTCCTTTTCTCCTTCAAGAACCACTTCTTCTTTAGCACTTGAATAAGGTGTGCTCTTAGAATGATTCCATGCAGTTCTGTAGCCTCATTGGCCACTCCTGTTGTTGGCACCACTCCACAATCCATGACGGGAAAACCATTATGTGTTGTGTTTTTCAAGGCATTGACTATATTGGCTACCTTTTCTACTCCTCTGAAGCTAATCACTGCTGGCTTCACATCAACAAGCTCTCCCACAGTGAGGTCTCTCATCCATGGCTCGGGGTTTGCATCCATGAAAGGGAGACCTTTCAAGTGCAGTATGATCTCATAGATGCTTGGGTTGAAGCTGTCTCCAACAGTTTTAGCTATGAGGAGAACAATCATGGTTATTGGTAGTAGGAGAAGGTTGTTGGTTAGTTCAAGGAAGATCACACAAAGGGACACAGTCATTCTCATAGATCCAGCCATGAGTGAGGCTGCACCAAGGACTGCAAACAGCCCTTGATCAATGTTTGTATGAGGTCTCATGAAGATTCCAAGAAGCCGGCCATAACCAGAACCCATGAGGATGATTGGGAGGAAGAGCCCTGAGGGCACAGCAATTCCAAAGGTGATTAGTCCTAATATGCAATAGAGTGCAAAGAAAATTAGGATTGAGGAGGGTTGGTATTCAAAAGGAGTGTTGGTTGAGAATATGTTTCTGACAGCATCATCATTCGTGGTCAGTAGCAGAGTAGCAAGATCATTGTAGTAGCCATTTGGGCAGTTGAATTGTTTGAAGTTTCCAGAACGCCCGTTGGTGGGGCACACTTCTGAAAGGGAAGGATCACAAGGGGTACATTTTGCTAGGAATGGGAGACCATATTGGCATATTGATGTGAAGAGTGCAACTGAAAGACTGAGGAGGAGCTTGTACATTTTTCCTTTCCTGCAACAATTGAAAGTAGTTGACTCGCTACTGTTTAACAGTCACAATTGAGAAAACTTGGCAAGGCATCATTGTTCATTCTATTCCAGGTTGCAACTGGCCAGAGGATAAAACTTAGCTTCATGATTGCCTCATGGTAGTTTCAAATCAGACATAACATTTTATTTTAACACATGATATTTATTGTTGATTAAAATTTATTAGAAATCACATAAAACTTCCATGCATGATTTTATGGTTTTCAATAAATTTTAACCAACAAAAAAGTATGTTAAAGAGAATGTGTCAAATATTTTATCGTTAGCATTTCTAATCCATAATAAACTGGTAGATTACCTAAGGTTCTAGGCTCTCTTAACACCTTTATCATTAACAGGACAGATTGAGATTAGACAAGGTTGCTTACTGATTGATGAGATTGTAGAGACGGAGGACTTTATGGAGAAGATAGTTGTAAAGGCTTCCCAATACCCCACCAAGGACTCCAATGATTACAACAGGGATGATATCCATTACATTGTATCTCACAGTAACATCACTAACATCAAACATGATGAGCCCTCCTTCACCAAAAAGACCACATTTTCCTTTGTGGCAAAGTTCAATGGTGGCCCTTAGCACTACCACAACCACAGCTGTGCTGAAAAATGTTCTCCAGAGGAGAGCACTTCTCCACCAAGTTGCCACCTCCTCAAGAGCAAAGAGAACTCCACCCACAGGTGCCCTGAAAGCTGCACAGACCCCTGAAGAAGCACCACAGGTGATGAGATCGCGACGATCACGATCATTGTTGAAATACCGCAGCCAGCGCCACTTGATCCTGTAATTATCAGGGCCACCTTGGCCTAGTAAAGAAGCAATACAGCTACCAATGTGTACCAAGGGCCCTTCTTTTCCTAAATCTAGCCCTGCAGATACAGCTCCAATGCTTCCAATTATCTACAAGAGCAATAATTATATTAGTTAAATTTTCTCAGGGTATTGGTTGTGTAATGCTAACTTTTTAGTGAAAAGTTCTACATTGTCTGTAACACTGCATTATAGCAATGCCATGTTCTTTTATCAATAATGAGACATTTTTGGGTTGGATGTTGTGAGAAAATTCTATTATTGACCCCAACATGATCATTAATGCCATTCATCATTGACAATCCAAGTGTCAAAGGTTTGAATTCCATAATGCTTAGCTGTTTTAACAACATTACACTAACCTCTTCTAAATTACACTAACTTCCTTAATTGTTTGAAAAATATTACAACATTTATCCCTAATGTTGTAAATGTCGAAAAGAAAATAGGAGAATTATGTCCAATCCAAAACAATCTGAAGATGTCGGTATAATTTACTCTAAATAAAAATTTGTCCCAATTCCTTAAAACAATTGTACTAGCATTAGAGATGCACTACAGTAACAGAATGGTAACCATTGAAAAATTAATTATAAAAGAAAGTAATCCATGATCTAGTATTGACACTTGCTAAGCCTATTTCCCAACCCTCTAAAGAAACTGTCAAAACAAGGAAGGTATAAATTATCACATTCTTCTTTGATTTGATGAGTTAACCAGAAATAAAATAGTTGAGGCAGGGCAGCATTCAACATAACAAGCTTTACCTTAACAATCAATGTTGTGGCACCATACATGTTGGGAGTATCAACCCCATTAAGATAAGCTTTGATTTCAGGTATTCCAGGTCCAGCAGCTGTGGGTGCAAAACACACGCACAGAATAGCAGCAACAAATGTCAAAATGAAATTAATTCCCGTGAAATAAAAGAAACCCGTCAAGTACCTGCACCATATATCAAATATTCATATTCATTCACAATTAGCACACAATTGCTATCAAGAAAATCGTCAAAATAAAACTTTGTGATTATAGAACAACTTTATCAACACTTGAAGAACTACATGTAAGTTTTATCTTTCCTGTTATCTGTTTCGAACTATAAATCCCGTATCATATCCATGAAGCTGGACATCTTGCAAACTTTTTTTCTCTCACAGAAAAGGAAAGAATTTTTTTTTTTTTCATTATTGAATAGAAGGTGAGGCAGGTGGGTTGATCTGACCTTTCATTTTGGATAAAGCTGACAACAGCAAGAAGCTTGTACCCTGCAATGTTCTCAACAGCAAGATTGATCAAAGTGGCTATGACACCTGTGAGAAGTCCAACAAGAAATGCAAGAGTCCATTTCCAGAATATGTATTGCAACACTTGAGCTCTTGATCTGCTCCTCCAATCTTGTTTGAACAGGTCATTCTCATTGATCCTGCATAGAGAGAGCCTCCTCAAAAAAAGAGTAACACAAAAGTGACATTTACCATGGTAATTGAGCATGGATGGTGTCTTATTCTGGGTTCTTACTCATAGTCCAAGCTTTCTATGTAGGAAACTTTTGCTCCAACCAGAGCAAGTGGATTGGAAGACAAAGTCCTGTTCCTCTTGAGCAGTGGCTCATTCAGTGGATTGCTTTCTGGATCTCTTTCTTCAACCTCTTCCACCATGGTCTCATTCATTGATGTGCTCTCTTTAAGCAGATTAGAATCCTCACTCATTGGAACAACACACAAAAATACTAGAGGAAAAGAAACTGATCAATATCTAGAGTTGACACCCTTATGAAAAAATATGTTTTGGATTGGAACAAAATGCTTCACCTAGCCTATAAATGGAAAAACATTCAAAGTATTGGTCACTTTGGCTTAAATTATGACATGTGGTAAGCAAGATTGACAAAGTAAAACTAGTGGACCTGTCATTAGATGTGAAGTTATTATTATTGTTGTGAAAATAATGTATGATTATTTTTTTTATTCTCTTAAAAATCCAAAAGAAAAATCTCAAGGTTGATTATAAATTGTCACATGATAAAGCTCTTAATTTTTATAATAATTAAGTCAAAGATCTTACAAGAAATAGTTAGTTATTAATTTAGAGTCGGAAAACCATACTTGCAAATTTAACTTTAATAATTACAAGAGTAATTATTACTACATATGGGTATCAAAAATCTGGTCTTAAATCATAAGAACGGAAAGCTGGGATTCGTGGTTGTTATCTTTCTGGTGTCTTGATGTTTATTTACACATTTTTGTCTCACCAATAATTCATTGTCCATTGACAACATGAATGGTTTTCTATTTATTCTGGACCACTTGCATGAATTAATTTCACATGGTGGCCGTGAGGCTAATATTTAGCAACCTAAGATTTAAGAAACTTCACATTTCAAGGCTTTTTGTAAGGCTTCCAAAACAAAAATATATAGAGAAAAATAAACTAATTTACTTGTAAATTAAAAATGAAACTTTTAAAAACTTATATGCTTGTTGACATTGACAATGACACCAGGTTTCAATGTTGGTGTAACTGCTCCACAGGAAACTGTTCTCAAACCTACTTTGTAATTGTTAATCAAGTTACCATATTTTGCAAGTAAAGACTCAGAACTCATGGCTTATTATTATGAAAGAGAAAGTGACCAATCAAAGACCGTACTTCATTATATATATTTTCTGTCAAAAAATCAATTGGATTCGTCAAATATCTTTTGATAATTACAGTTAATATTTAATTAGTTTCATGATTTATCATGTTCATAGATATAAACTCTTTAAAATAAATCTCTTTCTAAAGGAATCAAAATCTCATTTTCTGTATGCCAATTTTTTGTTGTTTTTTTTCCCTGAGATTTAACGGAAAGATTTTCACTCAACTTTCGATTGATTCAAACTAAAAATACGAATTTTTGGGAAACTTCTACGATATTCAATCTTTGAAAGAAACTTTAATTTTATGTTTGTAAAGTAATAAGCCAGCGAAGCGAGGTTATCATAACGCGAAGCGTGTTATATTTTTATTTTATTTTTTAGTTTTCTGCGTTTGCTCGTGTTGTGTGTTCTTCAATTTTTGAGTCTTTCACACTTCATCAGATTTTATGTTCAGAATTTTCAAATGGCCACGTTACGTATCATTTTATTCTAAAATAATTTTCCTCTAACATTTCAACATCTTCTTTTCAACCACTAAAATAATTCAAAACGTATCAAATACATTCTTATTTTCTTTTATTTTTTTAGCTTTTATCATCTTTCTTTTATTTATTTATCTCTCTTTCTTTTTATCACTTAATTTATTATATACTTTTATTTTTCTATGATTCTTCTTTTCTCTATCTCTCTGTTTTCAAAAGCATGTTTACGTATATAATATATAATAAAAAATTGTTATTTTTCTTTCTTTTTAAACACTCTCAATTACATGTTTATGATATTTTTTTCTCTATTTAAAACACAATTTTAATTACACGTTTTATTTCACTTTTATAAAAATATTAATAAAAATTTCGGAAACATCCACCTTTATTTTCACTACCATCATTATGAAAATCCTATTAATTAGCTCTTAAAAATATTTCACCCTTTTTGTTTTAACGTTTTTTTTTATTTTTACTTATTTTATCATCATAGATAACACATATACATTGTTTCGCAAAATTTAATTATAAAATGTTGGTTAATTTAAGGATGTATCAACATTTTGTTACACATTTGGAATATGTGAAAACTGAAAAATAATAATAAAATGTGTAAGAAAAAAAAGTAGGAGATAAAAAACTTGCGAAATAATTACAGTTGAGTATTAAAATGTATAATTAAGCAAAAATTAATTATTGAAAATTATAATTTTTGTATGTTTCACTCTATATATATAATGAATTTCTTTTATTTTTTATAAATTTTAATTATAAAATATATATTTAAAATATGTTAAGAATAAGTGTTGTAATTTGTTTAGAGTAATATATAGTTAGAAAAAGATATACTATCACAATATTATAAAATCAGTTTAGAGGGTAAAATTTATTGGATTTTATTATTACACTCTTTGACACGGAAAATATAATGATTTAATATTTGATTGAAAATAAAGAAAGTTCTAATTTATAAGAAAAAGACATGAGGAATGAGAAGAGAGAAATGGACGAAAACATGTTACATGTGGCAACTAAAATTTATTGGGGGTGGGGTGTATAAATAATATAATTTAATTGGGGTGGCACAAAAGCTTGAGGAAGAAAAAAAGTCAAAACAACAAAAATAGATAGGGAACATAGTGGGGTAAGATAAGAAAACCAAGAAACGTGAGAAGCTAGATAAGAGCAAAAAGAAAAAAGGTGACTAATGAAGACATACATGTCCATTTTTTAATTAATAAAACACAAGTTATTTCGCTTGTGTCTTTCTGTTTTCTTCGACAAAATGAAAAAACTCTTTTTTATTCAATTTTATAAATTATTATATTCTTCTTGATGGATCTTGTGATTTATCTGACAATTATTTTTAATAAACATCTATAACGTCAATCTATTTTATTTTTAATTACTATATATTATTTTTTGCAAGAAATTGACTTTTATAGATTGGAGGGTAAATATAGATGTAGTTTCATATATTCGTTAGAAAAATAGTTTTACGTCAAATAATAAATTTATGACATAAATTAAAGTAGTCTCATTATTTATATGGATTTTATAAAATAATAATTATTTTTAAATAAAAATAATATTATTTTATTAAAAAATATTTATGTATTATAAATTAATTAGATAAAAAATTTATTTATTTTAAAAATAAACATGATAATAAATTTTTAATAATCATTTATTTTAATATTTAATAGTAAAATTAATTTTTATTTTAAATAAATAAATTATTAAAATAAGAATAATATTAACAAACAGTAATTTTTTAATTTTTTATATTAAATTAATTTATTTTTTTATAATTTATATATTAAATTATTGTGTTTTAAATAAAAAATAATTTTATTAATATATTTTAAATTTTAAAAATATATATTTATTTAAATATTTTTTAATTAATTATTTTGATATAAATATATTAATAATTTTATTTTAATTTTTAATTATACTAAATTTGATCTATTAATCGACTTACTTAACAAAAAGTAAGATTAAAAATTATAATTTATTTTAAAATATAAATCAGGTTAAATGAATTTTTTTAATTAATTTATAAAATTAAGTGAAACTAGACTAAACAAATCATATTAATAATTCTATTTATAAATCTACGAATAGAGCTTATGAAAACGTAATTAAGTGCAAGAAAGGATAATGTATTGTATATGATAACTTACTTTATTTTATTTTGATTATAAATAAATATTATATTTAAAATTATAAATATAAAAACTAATTTTGTTAAAAGAAAATAAAGTAAATTAAATGCACACTGAATCATATACAGAACACCAAACAGTTAGCATCGTTCTTGCAGAATCGTTTTTTAATATTAAATAATGGTTTATGATTGGTTTTGGTCATCCTTTTCCATTTTTATTTCTTCACCTTATAATATTTATAATGCAGTTCTGCTATCTGCCATATAGTGTTGGGTCATATACAAAAATAAATGAAGGAGACACGTGTAAGGCGGAGAGTGTTCCTGAGATGGATAAACTGGTAAGATCAACGGTGGAAAATTACATTGGCCCTTGACTTCTTCAAAGGCTAGTTTGTTTGGATATATTTTACTTAAATTATTATTTCTTCAACCAAACACAATCCAAAACCTTAGACACATGCCACCCCCAACGATAACATAAACAGCGACACCTCAATTTTTGTCTATTCTTGGTGTGGTGTTGGATCATGTGTTGCGTCTGGGAATTTTCATGGATCGTGCCAAGATTTGTGGCTTTTGGTGCACTTGGCACATTTCAGGACTACAAAATTCAGACAATTAATTTCCCACCGAAACATTTTGAACCCCACTGGTGTTACAGCCTAATATGAACAGTTCTAGGATTTATCAAATCTGTGCAAGCATATGAATTTGTAATTTATCTAGTCATTACAAAGTATTTTATTTGACCAGTTATAGTTTATTTTATATGTCATATAATACCTTAATTTATAAATACAATGAAGTTAAATTTATTTTTCAAAATAAATATTTTATTTTAGCTTTCATAATATTTGTAATATCTTAAATTTATCATATACTATTTTTTTCTAGATACAATATATTAAATTATAATATTTATAGATATTTTAAATATTTTTATTTATTCAAAAATAATAAAAAGTTATTTTATCAAATTTTTATCTTGTATTTTTAATTAAAAGAATTAGATGGAACGAAAGAAAAATATAAATAAAAAAATAGAAAAAAATAATTTTACCAGGAGAAACAAATTTAGTTTTTTATTATTAAATTTTGTATATAAATAATAATAAAATTGGATAAATAAATTTATAAAAATTCTATTTAATCAATCCTATAAATAATATATTTCAAAAATAAAATTACTCAATTAAAATCCCTATTAATTTTTTTCACCTAAATAAACATGTATGCAGTTTTGTTCCCTCCTAAGTTGTTTTTTTTCTCCTCTCTCACTTTTGTTTCTCTTTTTTTCTTTTTTTTTATCTCATATCTATTGTTTTTCTCTCTTCTCTCTCTCCTTTCCCATTTACCTTTTAATTAAAATTTAATAAAATTGTGTTAATATAAAATTTTTAAAATCA